TTCAACTTCAAGTCATATTTCCACGTCATTGTCATCGTCATATCTCAGCATCCTCATAAATAAAATCATTGGACGCATTTACAACGTTGTTTCTTCAATTTCCTATCCGGAGTCAGTACAAAATATTTACAATTAGAAGATGAGATGAAGGAAGGAGAGGAGGGTGAGTCACAGGAGGGTCAGCCCAGAAGGAGTGAAAGAAAGAAAAAGATGACTGAAAAAGGTGCTGCATTTACCTTAGAGACTAAGCTCAACAACAGAGAGAAATGTTACAAGGTACTGTTAGCACTTACTGATAATTTAAAAGGTCTTTTGGAATCGTCAGATGATCAAGACACCATCAAAACTGCTTACAGTAAATGGTTAGACAATTACGAGGACTTTCTAGAGTTCCAGGAAGAAGTTAAAGCATTCATCTCCCCGAGCGAGCAGACGGTAGATGAAGAAATATTCACCGGAAGAAATAAACAACTAATGGATGTGAAATCATCAGTCGAGAAATGGTTTTCAAGACATTCGAAAGGTGTTTCATCTGATAAACGATCCATTGTTTCGAAGTCAAGTAACTATTCAGTGGCCAAGCTTGAGGAAAAACAACATAAAGCAGAACTATTGGCAAAAGCAGCCGCGCTTAAAGAAAAGAAACAGATAGAGGAGGCCAAATTACAGTTAAAAATGAAAGAAGAAGAACTTCATATACAAACAGCACTAAAGATCAGTGACGCTCGAACTAAAATTATTGAAGAACTTGAACGAAGTGAATTGAGGGACCAACAGCTTACCGAAGCTTTGAGTGATATCCATGCAGAATTGCATCACCATGGCGCACCTTTGTTTTCAACTGTGTCGAAACCAGCTGCACAGCAGTTACCGCATTTGTATGTACCTGTGTCTACCACACAGTCTACCTTGAATCCACATGCGCCTTTGTTTACATCCGTGTCAAGGACTGTAAGTCAGCAGAACTTGAATACACCATTTGTAACTCCAGGTACTTCATCACATGTGCCTGTTAGTGTGACTACATGTACGCCACATAGTATCCCTTACATTCCTATGTCGACACAACATAGTACGCCTTATGTACCTGCGTTACCAACATTCGGTGACTTGTACAATTCAGGACATGCGCACAGTCATAATCGTGAACATGAAGGCCTACTTATTGTGGCACAAGAATTAAATAAGCCTAAATCAGAAATACAGAATTTTGAAGGGAATCCAATGGACTACAAGAGATTCATTAGACAGTTTAATACAAGGGTGTGTGCTAATACCAGCTCATATGAAGAACGTTTGAACTTTCTTCTGCAATTTACCAGCGGTGAGGCTCACAGAATAGTGACTGGATATTCACACTTAAATGCTGAAGGCGGATACAAGGCAGCGATGGATGAATTCAAAGATCGATATGGTGATCCAGACATTGTTGCGCAAGCTTATGTGAAAAAAGCATTGAATTGGTCATCAATAAAACAAGACAATGCAAGGGGACTTGATGACTATGCAATATTCCTTACCGAGTGTCAGCATGCTGTCAACAACGTAGCCAGCGCTAGAGCCTTAGAGTATCCAGAGAACCTGAAACTTATTATAAAGAAACTTCCGTTCTACTTACAAGAAAAGTGGCGAAATGTTGTGTACGAGCTCAAAGACAGAAGACAAGTTGTGAAGTTTGAGAACTTAGTTGTTCGTAAGGAAGCTAAAAAGGCCAACGACCCTATCTACGGAAGAGAAGTGATGAATATTTCAACGTCTTCAACCCACGGACAGAATGTTAAACCAGCCACATTCTCAAAACAGAAAGGAAACTTTGCAACTAAGACCGTGGAATCTCATCTATCTACAAACAATTATGCATATGAACAACATAGACCAAAATCATCTGGATCTGTGAAACCATGTGCTTATTGTCAAGGCACATCACATTAATTGGAAGAGTGCCGGAACATCATGAAGATACCTCTAAAGGACAGATATGAAGTGTTGAAGTCCAAGGGACTGTGTTTCTCGTGTTTGAGATCAGGACATCTTAAGGGAGCCTGTCAACACAAGTTATACTGTGTTCACTGTAAGAAGTGTCACCCATCTATACTTCATATGAATCCTCGACAAGGCAAGGAAAACCCAGTGACTACTGATCAAAACAACAACAGCTCATCTGCAGCCGTTTCTTCAACAGCGCATATGGGGGCTGGGGACTCAGTGAGGCAAGCGCGTCCTGTCATACCAGTACGTCTGAAATCAAGAAACAGTGACAAATTTATTACAACTTATGCTTTCTTGGATTCTGGGAGTACAGCGACATTTTGTACAGAGGAAATCGCAAGATCACTTCACCTTGAAGGCAAAAAGACTGTGCTTAACTTAACAACCATGGGACAGCAGAGGACAGAGAACTGTTGCAATCTGGTCTTGAAGTGAGTGATTTAAATGGTGATCACACAATTGACTTACCTCCTATATACACTCAACCGGATTTGCCCATATCTAAGAAAGACATTGTTACGTCCGAGGACCTACAAAGATGGCCGCATCTGCGTGATGTACATATTGATACCATAGATAGCGATGTTGGTTTGTTGATTGGTGTCAATGTACCGAAAGCAATGGAGCCATGGGATGTGATTACTAGTGTACACAAAGGTCCATTCGCTGTTAAGACTCTGTTAGGATGGGTAATCAATGGACCGCTTGATACCAGACCAGAGAATGGTACTTACAGTACTTACGTCACAGTCAACCGCATCGATGCAAGATTAGAGGAGCAAGTGAGATATCAATTCAATCTTGACTTTAGTGAAAGAGCTATCGATGATGTTCCAGAGCCGTCAAGGGAAGACAGGAGATTTCTTGACTTTGTGAAAAATTCAGTTCGCTTTGAAAATGGACATTATGTCGTTGGTTTACCATTCAAATCAGAAAATGTGATAATGCCAAACAACAGAAAACAAGCAGAACAGAGACTGAATTCGTTGGCTAAGAAACTTGTAGTGACAGTGAATTCCATGACAATTATAAAGCCTTCATGGACAATATTATTAGCGAAGGCTATGTACGAAAGGTACCTACAGAAGACTTGAATCAAGATGATGGACGCGTTTGGTATTTGCCGCATCATGGTGTACTACATCCCAAGAAGAAAAAACTTCGAGTTGTGTTCGACTGTGCAGCGAGGTTCCAAGGGACTTCACTGAATGAGCAATTATTACAGGGCCCTAACTTAACAAACACACTCATCGGGACTTTGATGCGATTTAGAGAGGAGGAAATCGCTGTGATGGGAGATATCGATAGTATGTTCTACCAAGTACGTGTTCCGCCACAAGATGCTACTTTTCTACGATTTCTCTGGTGGAAAGATGGAAATCCCTCCAGTAGTTTACTTGAGTACCAGATGATCGTGCATTTGTTTGGAGCCACATCTTCGCCTAGTTGCGCCAACTTTTGTTTACGAAAAACAGCTCAAGATTGGACAGGACATTTTAGTGATGAGACAATAAAGACAGTTCTTCAGAATTTCTACGTTGATGATTGTCTAAAGTCAGTGAATTCTGTAAGAAATGCTGTGACATTGGTGAAAGAGTTAAAGGGACTCTTGGAAAGTGGGGGATTTCATATATCAAAGTGGATCAGCAACAGTCGTGAGGTCATGTATTCGATACCAATATCCGATAGAGCTAAGGAGGTCAAGGACTTAGATCTTGACTATGATACACTACCAGTAGAGCAAGCCCTCGGCATCCAGTGGTGTGTGAATTCTGACATCTTTCAGTTTAAACTGGACTTCAACAGAAAACCACTTACAAGGCGGGGAATTCTGTCAATGGTGAGCGGTGTGTTTGATCCACTGGGATTCTTAGCTCCACTACTACTCAAGGTAAAGATCATTCTGCAGGAATTGTGCAAACTTCAGCTTGGATGGGACGATAAGATTCCTGATGACACTGCTATTCAGTGGAATAATTGGTACCAAGATCTCGATAAATTGAGGGACTTCAAAGTGAACAGATGTCTGAAACCTTATGGTTTTCATCCACTCATGGTACAGTTACATCATTTTGCTGATGCGAGCGAAACTGGATATGGTAGAGTGTCATACTTGTGCATGGAGAACGCTTCTGGTGAACGTCATTGTTCCTTTATTATGGGAAAATCTCGCGTTGCTCCACTTAAGACAACATCTATTCCACGATTGGAGTTGACAGCAGCCACAGTAGCCGTCAGAACCAATAGGATGTTACTTAGAGAATTGAACATTCCTGTCCATCGTATTACATACTGGACCGACAGCATGGCCGTTCTACGTTATATTCAGAATAGTACGGCGAGATTTCATACTTTTGTTGCAAACAGATTAGCAGTTATCCACGAAGGGTCACAACCAACTGACTGGAGATACATTAACACAAAGTTGAATCCAGCGGATCATGCATCTAGAGGTATCTCTGCAGATGCCTTATTGAAACAAGAGAACTGGATCAAACCCCCCAATTTCCTGTCTGAACCTGAGGATCATTGGCCAACACCAGCTTCACACCTCACTGACAGAGAACTGTTTGACAACGACCCAGAGGTGAAAACGGTTACTGTAAAGACAGTTGTCACAAAATCACAGGAATTACAAGAGAATACTGCAGATATTGACAAGCTGTTTCAACATCATTCGTCTTGGTATTTATTGAAACGTAACGTGGCCTGGATTTTGAAGGTACGAAAAGAACTGTTAAGACGTGTTCGTGTGAAAAGACTCGATTCTCACTCACTGGTACAGGATGATTCTTGTGACAAGGCTTACATTTCATATGAGGACTTGAAAGAAGCAGAAAGAGCTATACTTACTTTCATTCAGCGGCAAGAATTTTCTATGGAAATAAATAGCCTTATGCCAAGAAACTAGTGTCAGTCATGGTAGCAGAATCCGGAGCCTGGATCCATATTTGGATGCTGGACTTTTGCGAGTCGGTGGTCATTTACACAAGTCAAGTTTTCCAGAGGAGATGAAACATCCAGTGATTTTACCCAAAGATCATCATGTGTCCACTCTAATTCTTAACCAAATTCATCAGGATTTGTTACATAGTGGCAGAAATCAGATGCTAGCTAAGCTAAGAGAACGTTACTGGCTTATCCATGCTCCATCTGCAATTCGGAAAGTCATATCAAAGTGTGTTACTTGTAGACGACAGAGGTCTAAGGTCGGAGAGCAAAAGATGGCAAGTTTGCCCAAAGATCGTATTATCCCAGACGAACCACCATTTAGCAGAGTTGGTGTGGATTACTTCGGACCATTTGAAGTCAAAGTGAAACGGAGTCGTGTGAAACGCTACGGTGTTATATTCACTTGCATAGCTAGTCGTGCAGTGCATCTAGAGATAGCAGCTTCGTTGGATACAGATTCCTACATAAATGCACTACGTCGTTTCATAGCAAGAAGAGGACAAGTAAAGAAAATACGTTCCGACAATGGAACTAACTTTGTTGGTGCCGAACGTGAACTTAAAAAATCCATACAAGAATGAAACAAAGCACAGATCAAATCTGCAATGTTACAAAAGAACGTAGACTGGCAGTTTAACCCACCAGCTGGATCACACTACGGGGGAGCCTGGGAGAGGTTAATTAGATCTATTCGTAAAGCCATGAATAGTGTACTAAAGGAGCAGACACTTGATGATGAAGGACTTCATACTCTAATGTGTGAAATTGAATATACAATCAACGACCGACCAATAACAAAGAACACGGATCAACACGGTGACTTGGAGCCACTTACTCCAAACCATTTGCTTTTGATGAAGAGGAAACCTAACCTTCCTCCAGGAGTCTTCGATAAGACAGATCTGTACCACAGACGCCGTTGGAGACAGATACAATATATGGCCAACTTGTTCTGGCATCGTTGGGTACGCGAGTACTTACCACTTCTCCAGGAACGACAAAAATGGCATGATATCAAGAGAAACTTTCAAATCGGTGATATTGTGTTAGTTGTAGATTCGAACGCCCCAAGGAACTCTTGGCCGATGGGAGTAGTGCATGAGACAATTCCCGACAGAAATGGACTAGTACGTCAGGTGAAAGTGGAAACCGCGACAAACATTCTAACCCGACCTGTCGACAAACTGTGCATGATCCTAGAAATGGACTAAGAGACTGTTTGAGATGTGTTTACTAAGAGACTTTGAATATATGAATATTCTTCTTTATCATGTACATGTATTGAATTTGCTAGGTATCATGTTTCATGTGCATATATCATTTTTGATGAGAATTTAGTACAGTGTAACCTGTTTAACTTGCATTGTATTTTTATACAATTTTTGCGTTAATGGATATAATGTATATATCTATTTTTGTAATTGTGTCACATTTGTTCCACAATTAGGGGGCTGGATTGTTACGGCCATTTCGGTAACTAGACTTGTTAGGGGCATTAGTGTGATGTGACGTCATCATTTTTAGGGCACAGTAATTTTTTTTGTGTAGAGCCCGTGTTATCATGGCAGAACGCGGCAGGGCTTGGTGCCACACTTGTTACCAGTTTGCCATTTGCTAGTATTCTTTGTACTGATATTTATTTCACCGGAGGAAACTTCTAATTGGTGAGTTTTTCTTTGTATATCATTTAGCTGTATACACTCTATATTTTTCATCTTGGTAAATATAGCATTTTTATGAATCTCGCAATAAAGTTATTGTTGAAAGTACTTGTGCACTATGTTGGAGTAATAATTATAATGCAGTTAGTAAGTTAGGTACATTATTGAAATACATATTGTAATTTCGCTGGATATGTGCACACTTATGACGTACGGGAGATAAATCTTTTTTCTGACATGTTTTTCTATCATGATTTGTGTCAAGAAGAGTTATGCCTCTTTGTTTACATTTTGATGACAGTTTTGTGTATTGAAGTATTTTCTAGAACATGTAATACATCATGATTATTTGCTAGGATGTGTTATCATGTGTAACTTGCTTGAAATATCTTGTATTTATAGTATTTTTTCTTTGCATTTTTTGTAGTAAATCGTCAGTGTAATAGTCAACGTCATTTCAACGTCATTTCAACGTCATTCACGTCATTTCCATGTCAACTTCAACTTCAAGTCATATTTCCACGTCATTGTCATCGTCATATCTCATCATCCTCATAAATAAAATCATTGGACGCATTTACAACGTTGTTTCTTTAATTTCCTGTCCGGAGTCAGTACATATAATATGCTTTTATATGAATCTTACCTCAACCAGGGCCACAATGCATAAGCTTAAGGTCAAGGTCACCACCGACCACAGTGATACTGTACAACCTAACCAAGAAATCAATATACATGTGTTACCTCTAATTGTAGTTGTAAACAATCTCGTAAAATAAATTTAAACTTCTTCATAACAAAAGCCTTTTAAACATCACTAGAAATAAAATGAATAGCCAATATTATATGGAACGTTTATCAACAAAACATGCTAAACTTATTCTATTAAAATAAATATTTTCAGACTTTACAAATATTAAAATAACCCTACCAAAACATACTTTACTATTATGAGCAAAGCTATATTTAAAAAAATGTAAACTTACAGTTGGTACACCTAGCTAGAGATAATTCAGCTTCAACAATGTGTTGAACACAGCATTCATAGCGCGAAACATTTCGAGCAAAATCATAAACTATGAAGTCACGTGATCACAGGAAGTGATGTTGAAATTATCAAAATATTAAACAATACATTTAAATAAAAACTTATGTGCATTTTCCATCATTATTTGAAAAATGACAATGACAAAAATTATTTTAAATGAAAATCTTGAATACTTTAGCTGAACAGAATTTGTTACTAAAAATAGATGTGGAAGTTACCCTCAATGACAAAGTGTATGAAAACAAAGAGAGATAACTCTATTGTGAAAATCACCAAATCACATATATTTTACCCAAATCATTAATGCACTGTACCTTTCAACGGTCCTAAACATGGTCTATGGATTCGGAATGTCAGTTTAACTCTCATACAAACCTGTTTTAAGAGGCCATCTTTGAAAGTTTGAAAATGTCCACTTAAGACGTGGTCATACGTCAGGAATACGGAAGTACCCGGTATTTTCGGGCGTCATCATAATGTGTAATATTATTCGGAACATTAAAATCGAGGGGAATAAATCCCGAATTTTCTCTTCATGTTACATGTAACGGTAAATTCGATATATAACTAGAAAGCTGTAACTAGTAGATTCTGATGGATACAGATTCACTTTTAACCTACGATATAATCAACCAAGTATCACAATATTGTTATTACAAATTCTGATTTTTTTTTAATGCAGAACATTTGTAAAGTTAGAGTTATCGTTCTTTTGTACTTCCGTCCCGGTTGGTGCACATCAAGAAAATTTACCCTAGATGCGGGTGATTTCATCGAAATATTTACAAATCGGGGCATATAAAAATTAAAAGGAAATATGAAAAGGAAGAGGAATGTATAAAAAATCTATTATTGTATGCATATCCCATGTTTTATTCTGAGTTAGAGAAATATTCGAGCGAAGTTTAAGCGATGTGAGGCGGATGACGAGAAAAGAGTTGCAAGCCTTCTCTCTTTATATGTATCAGTCGAAAACGACATATTTAAAGAGTTACCTTATTGATAACATATAGTGCATATTAGAATAGAAAAATAAGAAAAAGGTGACTCAACCCCAGATTTAAAAAGAAAAAAAATTGGAAAAGGGGGAGGTCCATACACCAAGCGCCTATGCTGTACACTACTAATACTCTGTTGAGAGAAATAAATGCTCTGAAAAAATGCCAAGATTGGTTAATAGAATGACGATTGATTTTTATAAACATTTTCTCTGTACCAACAATTAAGCAGTATATAATATCAATGCATAATTTTATCATCATCATCAGTTTTGAAATAAGAAATTCAAACAGAATTACTGATTGCTGTCTCTCCCTGGAGGGCATATAAAACATATGCCTCATACCAATTATATGCAAAACTTGCCAATAGACGAAAAATTACCTCTAGATATTAGAATCAATATTAAAACGTGTAAAATATTTATTTATAATGCGAAGAAATTGATAAGAGAAATATAAGCGTAAAAAAGCATGAAATACTGCACATCCATCCTCAGCGTTCCTTCATATAAATATTTAATAAAATAATAAATCGAGGATCAAACAAGTTATTAACGATAAAGGTTAGGTAGAATATTTTAACTCGCATGACTGATAAAATGGGAATGTCCATTTATTATGTTGAAACGCTCACTTAAAAATCTATATCGATGACCATATATTTTTTCATTGATTTTAATTTACCAAGAGTCTCTTTACCTCATCAAAATTTGAGTAAAATTTCTATTAAAGAAATGAATTATGTTCGTCGTCGTTAATGCTGTTAAATTTACATTCTGAACTACAATTGTACAATTAGTCATTTGAACGACGATCGATCGTTTTCTCTCTACCAACAATTAAGCAGTTCATTATATCAATCCATAATTCACCATCATCATGATTCTTGAAATAAGTATCTCAAACGGAATAACCTGTTTTCTTTCCCTGGAGGACATGTGAAACATATACTTTATTATTAAATGCCTCAAACAAATTATATTTTGAAATCCAACAAAGAAGAAGGTATGGTTTTAGCTTTATTGCGCCCTAAAAATGTAATGATATCAAAAAGTTTTGAAACTGGCTTAAATATTAGTTAAGTATATGACTGTGATAAATCGGGAAAGAATATGGTATGAAGGTTTACCATTCTGCAAATATGACGTCATTAATGTGAAGCATTTCTCTATTTTCAACAGAAAAAGCCTCAAAATGGCACATTTCAAGGGGGATTTTCCTTTAGAAACAGTGTCCACAGCCGTCGCCCACGTTAATTTTTTGATATTTTGTGCAAAATTCAATAGCAAATCACATATCTCAAGATCTTTGTGGGCGATGCCTGTGGACAATGTTATCTGAAAGAAAATTCCATTGAAAAGTGGTGTCTTCTGCAACTTTTTAAGAAAATACGGGAAAATGCACACATATATGACGTCATACTTAGCATTTAAAAACACATGTGAGAAAAATGATTTGTATGATTTTACTGCATTGAATTTCAATTATTTAAAAAGCATGAGTTTTTAACCTTTACACCAGTTTCATTTTTTAGAAAATCACAGGGCAGAATTTGTATGGAAACCATACCTTCTTCTTACCTAGCTATTAGAATCAGCATAAAACGTGTAAAATATTCATTATAATGCGAAGAAATAGTTTAGAGCAACATAAGCGTCAAACATTATTAAAGAAGGAAATACTGCATATCCGTCTTCGGGGTCCCCTGCTATCAATTTTTGATTAAACTAATAAATCAAACAAACAGGTAATTATCGATAAAAGTTAGAATATTTTGAACTCGCCTGACTGATATAATGGGAATGCCCATTTGTTGTCTTCTTCTTTAAATGTTAAAGTTGTGCCCCTTAACAATTTTTTTCACCATTCTA